AAACGACTTGACATTCTTCAAATATGCTCCTGTCACATCATGTGATGTGGAACGAAGTTTTTCCAAATATAAAACTATCCTTAGTGATAATCGGCGATCTTTCAAATTTGAAAATTTGAAAATGCATGTAGTTATAAATTGCAACTGTAACAGTGAAAACTGAGACGTGAATAACTCAGTGAAAATTGAGACGTGAATAGCTTGTGTTCTTTTAAATGGTGTTTTTAGATAACAGAGTTAAGTTAGTGTTCATACCATGTGCACCAGTGTTTGTCTAAAATGTGAACACAAATATCAGTATTAAAAGAAAACAATGAATGGTTTAATCCAGTACGAAATGTCGAAATTCCATCAGTTTTCTTTCCTTCAGAGACATAATAGGGCTAATCTGGTAAGTAGGACCTACTATCATATATTCATCATCTTTATTCTTAAACTCTAGTAAAAGTTGTAATTAAAATTGTGAAATGTTATGTCCCATTTAATATTTAAGGTCATATTTTACACTTTTTAGGTCATATTTGACATAATTTTGGGTCATAAGTGCATGCATATATTTATAGTTTTTAGGTCATAAAAATCCGGGCCCTACGGATTACTAATATCATTCTATGGAATATCCTATACCCCTTGACAGTTGGAGTACCTCTCTGAAATGGCGCAATTTTTAAAATCCGTGACCAATGTATGGAATTTATTTACGGTCTACTTAACAATGCTGTAAGTAACTCAAGACTATTTATCGTTTGAACGTAATTTATGTAAAAGCAATGCAATTCTCAAGTAAGTCATTCAGTTTATCTGATTGGTGCTAAATCACTAGAGTATGAGTAGCATTATATCTGATTCAACAAAACCCCGTAAGTTTATACATGCTGCACATTTCTAACCAAAATTCTGTTCCCAGAAGAACACATCACAAAGTCAAAATTCTGCAATATTGAATGCTGTACATGCCTTCTAGAGCTCAGAGATGTAGAGCAGAGAACAGGCCTCTCAATGATTCAAGTTTGCACATGCTGATTTTTTAATGTCATTTCATTATCTTTTTTTGTACCATAAAAACCCTAAATCTTTTTCATATTCCTATCATACCACTTTTTTCAGTTCATGTTTCGGGTTTCATCAGCGATTTTCAGGGACAAAAAATACCACAAATGACAGGGTTTAAGAAAGACTACTCTAGAGCAATGCTATTCAGAGTTGTTTTTACTTGGTGTACCGACCTCACATTCTTTATAGAGCTGCAAAACTAATCTTAGTACAGACTCCACCCACCTTAACCTTTTTGTTTTAACAACTAAAAGCGAGAATGTTAGCTGGTCTCTTCCTGGAAATTCATCAAACACTCTTAATTACATTATATTGTATCTGTTATTCCAAGAATTCTGTAAGGTGTGCCTTTAATATGGAGGCAAGGTGTTCCATCAAAACTCGGGTAATGAACTACCAGTCTACATGGCATCACATCCTAGAAGCTAGTAATCTTCACAGTCTTTCAGGAAGGAAATTAAATTCACTATGCTCAATAAATATTGAAAAGAAACAAGTTTATTACAAATACAATAATATTTCTGAACCTTTGAGGTATAACTCTTCTCCAAGTTGTACATAATAATTAACTCTGGGAAATTACAGCAGTACAGATACCTTCTAAATATCCTTATATTACTACCGCAAAATTTCAATAATCTTTATCCCTGAATAAATTAACATATTTCTTATCATTTCTATCCAATAGAAATGCTTGATACATTAATGTAAAACCAGGATATAGTGATATTTTTTCAGAAGTTCTAAGGCACTAAAAAATTTCATACAATACATTACTTCAACAAATGAAAGATTTTACTTCCTCATAAAAGATTAATTTATGATAATAGTTATTTTATTGTTATGACCTCACACAAAAGCATATTTTATGTCTGTCTGTAAACACAAAGTAACACGAAATCTTATTATCATATTTGCTATTTTAGAATAAGAGATTCTTTGTGATTGTAATACATTTGACCCTGAGCTGCTACATGTTACTATTTCTAACTCTGTGAATGCACAAGGAACTTGCGTACATCTGTATTTAAAATTCACCAACATAACTATACAAAAGAAAGCAGTAAGTTACCATATCATAGATTCCAAAAATTAACATGGTCCTAACCAGCAATATTAAGTTTAAAATAATTGCAGTTCAAATTAACAACTACACATTCAAATTTTTAAAATGAAAATATTTATGAAAGTGCAATAAAACCTAAAAATAAAAATAATTTTGATAATTATAGGTCTTCACCATTAAGAGGCATTTATGATCAAGTTTGGTGTGATGGTTTTGGAAGTTTGGTTGCAATAAGGCTTTGTAGTCTCCAATATATATGCTGCAAGATGACTTACACTGAGCAGAAAATCATCAATCGTAGGGCTCAGAAAATCTTGGATGCCAAGACACCTTCACCAGAAATTTTAATTATGGCACCTATGATTATATAGTATGTAGCACATTTCACAAAAGTATGGATTGCATAACATTTACCTGTACAGACATATCAGAACTGCTATTAGTGAACAGGTTTCACTAAGTTTATGTAGGTTTATAACATTTTGACAGTACTGAAAATTTATGCAACTGGTCAGAAATGTGTTCACCCATGTGCTTATTATCTGTTTTGTGTAAAAATAGTTATGAAACTCCATTTGAATTTTAAGTGTAAAAAATGTACATCTTCTGACCATGTGTTTTCTGTTATTTGATATGAATTCTGGTGCAATCAATGCAACATATTCCTTCAAGCGTAATAATGCTGCAGGCATTGTCTCTTGGCTCTAATTCATAACAAGGAAGCATAAAAAACAGTGGTCTGACTCTCCTGTTGAAGCAATAGCTGAACAGTTCAAGACCAAATGGGTTTCAACTGATGGTCATTCATTTTGTCCCTGTTTGATTTGCACTTAAAATTTAAAAGAGAAATATGTTAGGTATAAATTATTTGTGTATTTAATTATAATTTATTGCAAATAAAAACCTTCAAATATTAGTTATAGACATAAATATTACTATTCATTTGATGTCACTGATGGTTCAAGGGACAGAAATTCCAGCACTGAAGACTGAAGAATCATGACATTTTCTAAATCATATCATTCAATCAGCAGTTCCGAATGTTACACCGCTTGTTATGAAAATTAACCACAACAATTTGTTAACAAGTAAAGCTAGCACTTACATGTGAAATAAAAAGGCAGCAAATCATCGTTTTATATCTCCAGTAGAAATGAGAGAAGGAAATAGCCTTTGGTTCCAAATTTCCGTTTCATAGCTCAATCAAGCAACATTAATGTTTTCTTATCAGCCGGGATCTGGGTCTGCCAAAATCAGAAGTGCTGAAGAATAGCACTGCTAACTTCAAATTTCATTTCCAGGAAAGTATCATATCTATACATTAACAACTGATTCACCAACAGGAGTAAGGCTGGAAATAACGTGACCCTCTGCCAAGACTCCTCCCAGAACTAACACAAAATTGACAACGAAACCAGCAACACAACTAGTGCAATGTTATTATCTGAGATCTTCTCCTCTGCCACACCAACTTAAAAGGAGGTTATGAACATTGCAAAAAGGAAGAGGTTGGCATACAAACACAGCACACAAAAGTAATTATGAAGTAAACACTGGCACTCTTATTTAATTATGGGATGAACACAGGCTGGTAGTATGAACCTGACTTCTGCCAAGGAACACAACTGAAAAAATCGAAATTTTCAAAAACTGAAATTGCCAAAATTATGTGAGGTATACCAAATATATCTCAGGCAGGAGACTGGGCTCTTAATTTGAAATAAGGACCATTCTACCAAATGCAGGGCAAATGAAAATGAATGAAACATGACACTAACTACACCCTAGCACCAGTATGATTCATTGTAAGGTCTAATGGCTTATCCTGATATTCAGTGACTTCTGGGGGAACATCTAATTGGCTGTATTTAGTCACATCAATACCCAAACCAGAATTTGACACTGGAGAATGGTTTATGGCTCCAGTCATTCGCTGTCCACAAGTGGGTGGCTGTAACAATGGATGATTCCATAGTGAGAGTCCAGAAGCCCAAGGTAATGACTGTGACAGTACCGCCAAGTCAGCTGTGATCCAAGAATGAAAGAGATTGTAATGAACATCATGTCCTTTCCATAAGAGATGTGACCCAGCATGTGGAGGCACTGAATCTCTTTCGCTTCCTACACAGCATGACTTTGAGCACGGAAGTGGTGATCTTGTATCGACACGTGAAGAGCAACACTCTTCATTTGCACAAATTTTGGCTTCCTGATCTTCGCAACCTCTTTTCAAGACATCGCCAGAATCCCTCTTCAGAAGTTTTGGCACATTCACTACAGAAATATTAACTGGAGATGCAGACGTTGTTCTTTTGTCACCACAGTGAAGAACTTCATCTTCACAACTCAGTTTTATTTGGTTGTTTCCTGGCCTGCAAACTACCTCATCATTATCTGAAGGAGCTCCTTCATGTGAAAAGTGACGATATGTCTTGACATGTTTGCGTAGAGAGCTTGGGTCAGTGTATCGTTTTGGACAGCCTGGTACCTTGCAGACGTAAGGCTTGTCAACCGAGTGAGTACGAGTGTGCTTGAATCGATCGCTAGAGTTGGAATAGGCCTTTCCACAGCCAGGGATTGGACATATGTATGGCCTCTCACCTGCAACATTTCAACTTCAAGTGTTAGCAAACAGCAAACAGACATTATGTGATAAGCTCAAACTCAGATTCCTTGTAACATCCTATTTCTCTACACCATAAAACCATAATCCTTATGACATTATGAGTGCATATGTCTTGGTTACAGCAAGTGCTAACTGTACTAGTAGGTGGATCTTCCAACAATATCTGTCTGTCATCATCTTTCATCATTTTCATGAAAAATGCCTGTTTAGAAGAACTGCTTGTAATTTCAATTTTGTGTTTTTTTTTTTCAATATTAGGTATTATGAGTGGATTGTAAGTACATAAAATGAAGCCCTTAACATTCATAACCATCACTATAAAATAAATAAATTGTTCACATTAGCCAAATTAGCCTCACATGCAACATAATATTATGGTTTATTCTGGGGAACTGTTCACATCACATAAGCTATTAAGCCTTAAATAATATCTAGAAGAACCAGGTTAGTGTTTTCATGTAAGAATGTATACCTTCTTGTTTCACTAAAAATTTTTGAAGTTCTGTTAAAATTCACACAATAATTTTTAAAATAACATAGATTGTCCTAAATAATAAATATGTGTTATTATTAAAAATCATAGACTTTTAACATAATTTTAAAGTTTCAAATAACTAAGAATGTATATATTTTAATATGATGACACATAATCTGGTTCTGCTACATGATTATAACATAAAGTTTTATAACAGCTTCCACAACATGAATAACCAATATGAATGCACTGTAATACACATAATTTGAAAGATGTGGCGCTAATCTGATTAATATAAAAATTTCTCAGTTGCATTGTAATGGTAAACAATATATGAAATTATATAACAATATAATGGAATGGCTCCCAGTGTCAAATGACCCTTTCATGTTGAGTCCATCCAAGTGCTACGTCACAGGCAGAATACGAGCTGAACGTGTGACATAGGGAAAGAGGACTAGTGGACCCCAAGATTGGATGACCATACTTTTGGCAACAATAATGGGACAGGACAGACTTGCACCCCTACAACGACAGATTTCAGTATCACTTGAATCCACAGTTCAGTTCAGTTCAGTTGTACAAAGTGTTGCATTAAACCAAGTGGTAAAGAAACAATGTCCATATATAGCTAACAGAAATAAATGATTCTTTTTAATTAAAATAAATTCCAAGGAATCCAACCAAAAATAAAACAAAACAGCAGTATGTCTTAAAAACGATGTAAATAGTTACAGTACTGTCACTTTGAATAAATACAGAACAAAAGATTATTCTGGGGCAAACTGGCAGAAGAAAGATGACTCAACTGCAAAACAGGTCTTCACCATTCAAAACAGGACATGTGATCACAGTACATAAAGAGGAAATTAAGATATAGAGGAAAAAATAAAGTTTCCCTATAAAGAATGAAACTCCAGACCACAGACTGTACTGCTAATTATAAACATGCATAATAATTTACAGTGCCAAAGGCCCAAGTAATTTGTGATGCCACATACCTGTATGAGAGCGTGCATGTATCTTGAGGTTCTCAGCTCGACTAAAGCTCTTGTCGCACTTGAAACAGTGGTGCGGCTTCTCGTTAGTGTGCGTCCTCACATGAACCAGCATTTTATACCTGGTGAATGCAACCAATGAGTTGTACCATAAAACTGATCAGTTGCTTACAGACTACATGACATTTTCTGGTCATCTGAAAGTCCCTGGTCGCCATTTGCAGAAATCATATCCTATAAAAACTGTCATTAATCTTTTCAGATCCAAGATTCAACCTACAATTTGCAAACAATATTTAAGTCCAATGTTGAACTGAAAATTTTTTTAAATTTTTACAGGTCATCTGAAGGACTCAGCCTGTCATCTGCAGGAATTATGTTGGTTCTGACAATGCCTACAATCTTGAAATGTCATAAAAAGTTAATGAAACTTCACCTTGTTATTTACATTTTGTTCAATTAATTCCACATGTTTAACTCAGCTTGACATAACTAAATCTAGGCACCAATAACAGACTGAGACTGACAGTTTTTAAATTCAAACAAAATGAACTGGACTTCTTGGAGTAGCACATGACAGAAATTATATGAAACCTCAAAGAACAAAGTTGCCAATCATTTCAATAATATTTCATGTTAAAATATACATTAAAATTGCAGGCAGCCTGTCTGAACATCTTTTGTCACATTCATTATTAAGTAACGCTTATTTTAGTCTCACACTGAAGTTAGTGAGAAAATTTTCATTAAAGGCCCTTATTTCTTTAGACTTTATTTTATTTTCAAAATGCCATGACTCCATAAACTGTCCAAATTGTGCCCTTGTTAATAGGCCTTTTTACTCAAAATTATTTTATTAATCTACCTACAAAGTTTTATAGACTCCTGAACAATCCTGTGAGGATGTGTGTGTTTTCACACCCACGCAAGCACCTGCTGAGAATTCAATTGGATATCATTTGTGATATAAATTTTCATATTTTAACTTTCCCATGTACTACTGTACATATCCATGTCAAAATATTATGAATTCTCACAAAAGAGAGAGGAAAAAACTGAAACAAAATACTGCTCACTAATTCATGACCCACTACATAACTTACATTCACGTAACACATAAGTTGCTATTGCAACCTAAAATTGCATAATTTCAGAGCTTTCACCCCACTCTTTCATTATATATACATATATTGCTCTCTGAGTCTTCCATATCTCTTTTCCGTATTTTAATTTAGTGATATACCACTAACACCATGCTGCTTTTGTAATCTTGGCACTGATAATAATACATTTTACTTATCAGACCCAAGTGAACTCCCCAGCTGGAGGAAAAGAAGGCTTGATTTTGCGATGCTTCTTCTCGCTTGCCTTCTACTTGAAACCGAGCTGGGTCACAGATGATGCAGCGTCACTCACCTGGCATTGAATCCCCTGTCTCCTCGGCTACATCCCTCCCAGCCACAATAGAAGAGCCCTCCTTGTCCAGAAGTTGCATGAACCTGAGTTACGTGTGAAGCCAGTAACTCCAAGTGACCAAACCAATGTCCACAGCCAACCCATCTGCACAGAAAATATAATGAATTAGGTATGCTTACTGACATTCACTGATTACTTAATCCTTTGGTGCATGTGTGTAATTAGTGATTTTAGGCAAACTGTTTACTGTCATGTGTGTGCGTCTGTGCGCATGTGTTTTAGTGACACCACAGAATGGAATCGCATAAACGGTGGGGATAATGGTGTCCAGTTTTTCCCCCTCTCTGCCTGATACAAAGGATGTGATAATGTGCTGCCTGACCAGAGCTATTTCTCACTTCAGGTGGCGCACAGAGGTTAGTATGGAGCAAAGGTGAAATGATAATTGGCAGGGGAAAATTGAAGAAACTCTAAAGGAAGAATTCTGCTATTGTGCCATTGCTTTATTGTGAAGTTCACAAGAAATGTCTGGCTGTGAACCTGAGGCTCTGAGGTAAGAAACTGGCGCCTAAACGCCTGAAATATGGCATCACACACAGCTCCTCCTAGTGGCGATAATTTTATACTCGTTTTCGGTGCTCGATTTGTATGTTTCAACTAATGTGACACCTGCTGAGAATTTCATGCAAGAACTCCATCATTTTTATACAAGCAGCTTTCATATTATTAACTTCCTTGGCTTCCTCCCAGTTTTTCCAATCTTACATATTACCGAATGATAAGTAGATGTCAATGTTTAACGCCATCTCCTACGAGTAGCATGCATATATAATCAAGAGTAAACCCCTCTTTAAAATAGCATAAAACACTTAATATATCCATACTAAAATATTATAAGTACTCACACAATAGACACGATACTTTCATGCAATATGTAAACGTTCGACAGTTTGTTGCTGCAGTAGTCTGTAATTTTGCAATTATAATGATAAATATCATCTTTAAAAAAAATGTCTATGTACTCATATATATAGACGTACGTGGTTAAAGATATATTTTAACTTTTTTTTTTACCTCATCACGCGTGACTTGGCATTTGATAAGAGAATTGCTCTGCGTAAAACGGGCAGGCGAAGCTTCTCACATCATTACACAACAGTCAACGATACATAACCCCCCGTGGAGAATGTAGACAGCATTTGCGCGTGCGCAAAGGGTCAATTCTTGGGTCCAAAGTCATGTCCGACCTCATCGTCCTTCTTATCTCCTGAGTTCTGTATATGCGCTACTGAATCCAGTTATAACTGGCGCACACACGATATCCACAACTGTCTCATGCCACTTAACAGCCACAAATATGGACAACATTCTAGACAAATCTAAGGCAGGTTTTCAAAGGAGAAAATTACCCACACAGGAAGACGCGCACTTCGAACTTGTATTCCGGAAATGCCTGCTTCGAATCTCGGATGGGACGCCAATTATCCTCCTTCAGGTTTTATTAATTTTTCCCAGTCACCCCAGGCACCTTAAATCAGGCCACGACCATTTCCTTGCGCATCCTTCCAAATGATTATTCACTACCCACCGCAGCATTCGGCTCTACATAATCCGAGCTACTTACAGCATCGTTAAACAATCATATATTAATGAACGAATAAATAAACAGGAAAGGATGACAGTTGTCTGTGTCCCTTATTTAAACGAAGTGCCTGATGTTATAAAATGTTTGAAATAATATATTGTAGTAGTAGTAGTAGTAGTAGTAGTAGTAGTAGTAGTAGTAGTAGTAGTAGGAGAGTAGGAGGAGGAGGAGCACGCGGTAGCATAGTTCGTTGAGGCACTATGCCACAAGCCTGAAGGTCACGGGTTCGATTCCCGATGAGATAATTGGATTTTTCAATTGACCTAATCCTTCCAGCCGCACTATGGCCCTGAGGTCAACTCAGCCTCTAACAGAAATGAGTACCAGGAATCTTCCTGAGGGTAAAGGACGCCCGGTCAGCATGTAAGGCTGACAAACTCACCGCCATCTGTGAGCCGATTGTCTATAGAAAATGTGGGAGCCTCGACATCTCACAACCCTATGGGCCTTCACGGCCTGTTACAGGGATAGCTTTACCTCATATTAATAGTGGCAGTAGTTCATTGTGTCGTGTTATAAGAAACCCGGTCCGTAGGAAGGGGTGTAGTGGTTAGAAATTTTCATTCGTATGCGATGGTCCCGTGTTCGAATATCAGATCGCAGACGAGGTGTCTTGTCGTTTTCCGGCCAAAATTGTGTATACATTTCTCAGTTACCCAATGTGAGTTAATATCCCGATAATCTCATCCTTCTGGCTTTAATTACTTTTTTTTATGTATGTATAGAAGGATTTTACTTTATAAACAAATGTGACTCCATCGAAGCGTTTCAAGCATCTTGCCACTTTCTGTAAATTACAGAGTTATGCTGTTGCGTCGTTAAGTTAAACTCCGTACATTGCGTAGCAAGTCTGCTGTTTGCTGAGTCTGTAACCCACTCACTCACCTGCACTTGATGGCGGTTCCTACGTCTGGAGAGCCCTCGCCTGCTGAGAGCGCCATGCCGGCAAAACCATTGCCCACGTCCAGACTGGAGTTGCTGCCCTCGCTGTCACTCTGCGGGGGCAAAAAACGATTACAGTTTTCATAAAACGATGTGTGAAGGGGACGCACATTCACATTTCTGGTTCCTTTGTCAATCGTTTAAAAATATTGACCATTAGCCCACTCGATTCATCTTGTGTTTTCTCAGACATAACCCTTTTCTAACGAATAAACCTTGTGACCTAAAAACTACTGTGGCTAAAATCCAAATCTACATTTTCTCAAATACAAGCTGGGCCTCCACGGCCTGCTATCCCTGTAGCAGGCCATGGAGACCCATAGGGTTGTGAGACGTAGAGGCTCCCACATTTTCTCGACAATCGCCTCACAGATGGCGGTGAAGTTGTCAGCCTCACGCGTTGGCCGCCCTTTATCCCCCAGGAAGACTCCTGGTACTCGTTTCTCTCAGAGACTGTGTCGACTTCCAGGGTCACAGTGCGGCTAGAAGGATTGGGTCAATTGAAAAATCCAATGACCTCACTGGGGATCTAACCCGGTACCTTCCGACTTGTAGCATAGTGCTATTAAGTCCATGAAGCTCACCCCTTGATAACCTACTAGTCACCCAGTCGATCAGGATATCCCCCCCCTCTTAGCACGGAACCCAAAAGTCCATTACCGTGTTCACAAGAGTCCTGCCGCTGGATCCTTTGCTGGTTCAGCCGACAGCACCCCACATTTTCGCACAAACGCCTAAGTCTACTAAGTTCTTCCTTCCCTTCAGCTTTTCATAATAATTTTCTGCATAGATATTTGTCTTTCACATGCGTACTACGTGTTCCACCCATCTCACCCTCCTTATTTTATCGTTTTAATAATATTTGGTGAAAAGTACCAATCATCATATCGAAAATATTCGTGTTAAGAGCGTCCCTTGCTACTACATTATGCAAGACACAGCCTCCAGACATGGCGAGTACCATATAAGCGCCATGGAGAGCCGAAAATGGGTGCTACTCAGTTTCAGCATTTAGTAGGGTTAAAGAACTCTTCACCATAGATGTTCTCTGTTATGAACCTTTATTAATCGCCTCAGAATTGGATGGGGTCTTTGGTCCAGGATCTCCTTAGCACCGTTGAACATTCAAGTGTTTGTTATTGTTAGTTTCCTGATCCATGAGAGAAGAATGGACTCATATTTACGGGACACCCTGTGGAGGGTTGGCTGCATACCTGTCCAGCTGCTCTCAGTTCCTCGGCAATCTCACCCATTGCGTTGCTATGATCTGGGAGTCGGTAAGGACACCAGAGGCCCCCTCTTCCAGCCGAACCTGCAAACAAGTAAACACTTCCGTCACACGAATCATATCTCGGGCAAGGGGCGGTGGGGAGATGTATGTATAATTAAAAGCACGAAACCTTCAGGCTCGTAACTGACCCTGTCGGTCACAATGCCTGTTGCACTGTGTTCAAGTTACCACATTGGAGATCGTGAACCGCTAGGATCCAGCTGGCATTCGTCTGCAGATACTAAGGAATATCATTGAAATACGTTAGGATACTCGGAAAACCGACAGAAATTTGGACCTGATAAGCTCTGCCTCATCAGCTTCTGGGAACATATCATTATTTCATCAGCTTCTCTTGAAAATGTGCATAATGGCTCAATTTTTGTGTGTTCCGATACGATTCACGGTTCTCAAAGGCAATGAAGTGGAGGATGTTGCCTTCAGTGTTTGTTTAGAATTAATATTATGTAAGATTTGAGGTTCTGACACCGGCGGTTATGAACAGCCTTATCTTCTGGATGTAGTCCCGTGTGGTTTGTTGAAATGAGCTTGCTGTCTGCTACATACTAGTTCTTGCTTGACCTACTCTTCAAGCCTGAATATGCAGGGAATATGTTCCTCCGTAACGTCGGTTAATTTTCAACGGATTACACAGCATTATATCCCAGATAATATTGTGGCAAAAATGGAGTAACTGTTGGAAAATGTGTTTTCTGTGCGGTCCGTGCTGAGGTTATATGAAGAGGACCAGCTGCCATTTGTACCAGAAATCGGTAACCAGCGAAAACAGATTCAGGCACTAGGACACTACGATCCCACTGGTGATAAACATCTGCGTCCCTTATCCCTGCTTGCAAGATAATCAGCTCTAAGATCTCTTTACAGGTAACCGGATGATTGCAACTCCCTAAATGCCCAGTACGCCCGCGGCCACATCGACCAATCACCACACCTATGCTGGACAAGAAAAGTAGATGTGATTAAAAAAAAAATTGTAATTATAAAATCTTGTCATTGGACGAGCAACAACCCTTTGCCCCTTCACAACAGTGATTTAAATTTATCAACTTGAACAGTTAAAACCCTTTACAAATGTGATACACAAATGTTTGCTGCTCATCCAAAGTATGCAAAAAAAAACTG